GTAAAGAAGTGAGATCGATAGAGCACAAAATTCTCTATCTATCTACGTAGATAAATTAACTATTGAACCTCAGATAATGGGCTAAAAATCTCAAAAAAGGAGACGACAAAAGCTTGTCGCAATTTGACAACTCAGCATTCTTCAATATTTTGAATAGTGCTCAAACGACAAAACTGTTATCAGAGATTCAAATAGCAAGTTTTGTAGAGAATTCAATTCTCTATCAGAGCTCAGAACCAACTCTGTGGACTACCGGACAATGCCTCATGAACAACGAATGAAAGAGTCCGATTTTATCTGGGCCACCCGATATAAAGATGAAGACGAAGAGAATTAGGAGAATTGCGGAACATACGGGAAATCGAATCAAGCATTTTTGGACAATTTGAGGTTACATTGTCAGTATGACACTTCCACGACAGATCATGCGTCAATCTAACCCCCAGAAGTTTAAGAAAAGAAGCACGCTGAATTATGCGATGATTCACCTTTGAAGACATTGTTGGACATACGTTAGATACAGTAGAAAATAACATCCATTCACATTTTGAAACGTTTAAAGTGGCAAAATTCGTTTCATACCAAGCCAGATCCTCGTCTATGCACGCTTGTGCCTTGTCTGGATCGGCTAGACAAAGAAGGTCATCTGCAAAGAGCGAGGATACAGAACAGGAAACCAGACTTTAAGGTAAGTCATTAATGAAGGTTATAGGATGAGGCCAAGAATATTCTCTTGAGGCACTGCAGAAACAACAGGAAAAATAGATCTAAAATAGAATGAGCAGATCCCACTGTTACTATCTGGGTACGCTCAGACAGATATAACTTGAACTAGTCAAGTAGAGGACCAGTAATGCTGGCCAAAGATAGTTTTCTCAGCAGGATTTCGTGTGGTACATAGCTGAATGCTTTTTCGAAATCGAAAGAAATGCCAGCTACTTCTGGGCGATTATTTAATTTATAGATTGTATCTGTGAATGAAAAGTAGCGCATCTTCCTTCGATGCATTTGGACGAAAGTCGAATTGATTAGGGAAAAAAAGTTCATTAACGTTAAAAAAGAAAAAAGGTGTTTTGGGATAATTTTTTCGAAAACTTTACACACGTTAGAAATAAGAGAAATGGGCTGATAATTTTTAACAAAAATTTTTGCAGCAATCAGTGATGCAGTTTTCAGCATGGCGCTCCATTTAAGAGGCGATTTTAGACATCGTATCATTGAGGATCGCAGAGGTATACGTATCTGTGTTATTTACTAAAGGAACATGAAAGAAAAATATCTCTAATCTAAAAGAGATAGACACATTAACTGCATTTTTAATATTGAAATTCGTATTTATGTAAGGTATCAGGAATTGGAGGACTTTTTTCGTTATTTTGCCATGGTTGGATAGAACTCATCGAGTGAGTTAGAAAAATGTCTATCCTAGATGTTTCAAAGATATGTTTGGGTGTAAAACTGTTAAAATACTGATATTTTGAAAGTGGGCAAAACTGAATCAAGTTTCAGGAAAAAAACTAAATATTTATGTTTAATGTATTTCTGGAATTCCCAGACTACCTTTTTCCAACATAAGTAATTCTTCTAATACTAACAGATAATCCATCAAAAGGTCTAAATAATATCTTAACTGATCACCCGTAAATGCTTTATTTAGATATTTTACATTTAAACCTCCTACACATCCTGTAGCTGATTGTTGAATATAAAGATCAACGTGAA